TCCTGAATGAGATGCATGGGAAGTTCCCGTTCTTGCCCTGTGTCATTTAAAACTGAATAATACCTATAGAGAGGGCCTGATTCTCATTAATCTGAAGGCCCCTTGGCCCCTGTCGGGCAGTCAGGAAGGAGTACACGTGAGAATCAGGCCCGAGGTGCTGTAGACCAGTCTGTGAAGGTGCTATGCAGATGGGTCATCTCTGTTCATCGTCCTTGCCAAGATTTTGGTCATTTCTTTCTGGATTTTGCATTTCCTGGACCATAGGCACATTCCTGTGCCCCGCACAATGGGGCCTCAGGTGCTACTTTATGGTCAATGACAATTATCTAAAATTGCCAGTTGCTTTCCCAGTCCCCAGCTGCCGCCCCCACCAGCAAGGGGGGAGCTTGCATCCTGTGCCTGGGGTGTCAATGTCTCCTTAAAAGGACAGGCTGCGTCTTCAGTGTCTCCCCCACGCAGTGTTGTGGCAGGGAGAGTTCAGAATGCTGCTTGTCCTCTGGGTCTCTCAGCTCTCTGGAGACCGGTGCAATTCCCATGCAAGTTTTGCATAGCTGAGAAGGTTCCTCCTATGGAATTAAATTTACAAAAAGAAGACTGTTCTATGGAGGGTGCCTTCATGATTTCCTAACCCACTGTGAGAGATACCAATGATTTCAGTAAAACACATAATACAAGTACAAAGCTTTTGCTTCTTTGCATGAACCTAAGAATGTAAGAACGGCCATACTGGGTCAGACCAATGGTCCATCTAGCCCAGTGTCCTATCTTCCGACAGTGGCCAGTGCCAGGTGCTTCAGAGGGAATGAACAGAGCAGGGCAATTATCAAGTGATCCATCCCCTGTTGTCCAGTCCCAGTTTGTGGCAGTCAGAGGTTTAGGGATACGCAGAGCACGGGGTCGCCGCCCTGACCATCTTGGCTAATAGCCATTGAGGGACCCATCCTCCATGAACGTATCAAATTCTTTTTTGAACCCAGTTATACTTTTGGCCTTTACAACATCCCCTGGCAATGAGTTCCAGACTGACTGTGTGCGGTGTGAGGAAGTACTTCCTTTTGTTTGTTTTAAACCTGCTGCCTGTTTGTTTCATTGGGTGACCCCTAGTTCTTGTGTTATGTGAAGGGGTAAATAACACTTCCTGATTTGTTTTCTCCACACCAGTCATGATTTTACAGACCTCTTTCATATCCCCCCTTAGCTGTTTGTTTTCTGATCAGTCCCAGTCTTTTTAATCTCTCCTTACGTGGAAGCTGTTCCGTCCCCTTAATCAATTTTGTTGCAGTTCTCTTTACTTTTTCCAGTTCTAATATAGATATTTTTAGCTGGAGTGACCAGAACTGCACGCAGGATTAGATGTGTGGGCATGCTGTGGATTTAAATAGTGGCATTATGATATTTTGTCTTATTATCGATCCCTTTCTTAATGGTTCCCAACATTCTGCTCACTCCTGACTGCTGCTGAACAGATGGTTTCAGAGAGCTATCCACGATGACTCCAAGATCTTTCTTGAGTGATAACAGCTAACTATAGACCCATTATTTTGCATGTACAGTTGGGCTTATGTTTTCTAGTGTGCGTAACTTTGAATTTCTCAGCATTCAGTTTCATCGCCCTGAAAACATCTTGCTGGAAAAAGCAAAACAAACAAAAACCCTTTGACCATTCAGCGAGCAATTACCTGCATTAACTGTGTCTTTTCCTCTCTCCACAGCTTTGTTACTGCTGTACGATGTTACAAACAGAGCATCATTTGACAACATCCAAGTAAGTTGGACACGGTCAGGTCCCAGGGGGAACGTGCTGAGAGTTTAAGGCAAATACTTTGTGTTCCTTGAGTTGTTGTATGCAGGTTGGTTGGTTGGTGTTGATGGCATCCTAGAATTGTTTTGCAGTGTTTATAAGATCCTATTGGCTGGTCTGTTCTGCCTCATCTTCAGAGCAGGGTTGGTGCACCAGGTCCCGTAAACCAGGACAACTCTCACCTCCCTGCAGCTCACACTAAAAAGTTCAGTGCAAACCTTTCTGAAGACTGATTAATTCTTTTCAGCCGTTGTTATTTTGGCTGCTGCCTCAGCCTTTCAGGGCTCCAGTCTGGCATGGCAGGGCGAAGTCTGGAATACCCGGGCACAGGCAGCTATCATGCCAGACTGGAAGTAGGAAGTTCTGGAGGTCTCACAAGACCCGGTTTTGGCAAGATCTGTAGCCAGTTTTTGCAGACCCAAGAGACTTCAAGAATTAGAAGACACTTGAGCAAAAGCTCGAGTTTTGCATGCTCCTCTGTACTGCCAAGCCTTTTGATGCCTTCCTGCTATCTGTGAGTGACCAACTCGGTCTTGAGTTCTGAGCAAGGGCTTGTTCTGCTCTCTGCACTCTTGTTCCCAGGTTGCATCCAGAGGCAAGTGCACTTCCAGAATAAATGACTGTGAACAATTAGGACCTTGCGAGACACGGAGATTTCTGTGTAACGCTATGGAGCTTGAAAAAGAAATAATCGCAGTCTGGTTACCAGGAGACTGATTCTGTTGACACCAAAAGACTCGCTAGAGTATTGACACTTGCTGCTGGGTAATGGGAGCAGCAGGGGAGAATGTCTTTTCCATTCAGATACAGGAGTCTGATGAGAAGGGGTGTATATCTAGCTATCTCCCTAAGAACACTGCATGCCTCTTCTCCGGAGAACTGGCCCTTGCAATCGATGCAAGTAACTTGCATGCCGATACAGTACTGGGTATGATGATCCGCATCCCCAGTCCTGCTCATTACTGCCCTACTGTCGATCCCTCCTGCTCTTATTTTTACTGATATTATCATAGCACCCAGGAGCTCTAGTCACGGACCGGGTGAGGACCCCATTGTACTAACACACAACAGAACGACAGTCCCTGCACAAAGAACTTCCAATCTAAGTGTAAGACACAAGATACCAGATGGAGGAAAACCGACCAACAAGGGAGTGCACAGAAACAACGAGGCCATATTGGTCAGCACAACAGGCTGCGGTCTCAGCCCACCAGTGGCCTGACAATCGTCAAGTTATTTTGTTCCCATCACAGCAGAAGAGATTTGAAGGAGGGATCTGCAGGAGGACAGTGGGGTGGCTTGGCAGATGTGGAGGGAGAGCGCAGGCAAGGCTGGGAGAAAGCTCGAAGGTGGTGGTTTGAAAATGTAACTCGTGGTATCTTAATTACAAAAGGAACTAAACTCGGGGCAGCCGCTGTCTGAGCTGGCATTGGGAAGTGAATTATTTTATATCAGCGGTGGAAAGCTTTCATTTTCAAACGCACGTTCCATTACCTTTCACTAAACGGTACAAGAAAATGTCAGGGCAGTGTGCGAAATGCTGTGTTTGTGAAAATAGGACCTGCTTGGCATTTGTAATACAGTACAGGAAAACTCAAATGTTGGGTGGATTCTTGTTTCACTACAAGTATTTCACATACCGGTGTTCTGCTCACACACCAGGGTGGGGGAGGAGAGGTGGGGAAGAGATTCACAAACACACTTCACCCCTTGCTGTACTGTAGACGAGTTGCTCTTTGTTACACTGTTGTAGCCTGTGTTGTGTGTTCATGTTGGATCTTTCCGATTAGAGCATTTTCGAGTCCACGTAGTTTTTGGCCTCCTATGTGAGAACTGTTTAAAAAACCCATAAAGCATCACCCACTATCCCACTGACTGCTGAATCGAGAACTGGTTCCATTTCTCTTGCAGCAGAGTATGATGTTAGATGGGGAGGGCTCTGAGTTACTACAGAGAATTCTTTCCCAGGTGTCTGGCTGGTGGGTCTCACCCACATGCGCAGGGTTTAACTGATCACCTTACTTGGGGTCAGGAAGGAATTTCCCCCCAGGTCAGATTGGCTGAGACCCTGGGGGATTTTCGCCTTCCTCTGCAGCATGGGGCAGGGGTCACTTGCTGGTTTGAACTAGTGTAAATGGTGGATTCTCTGTAACTTGAAGTCTTTAAACCATGATTTGAGGATGTCGGTAACTCAGCCGGAGGTCGGGGTCTATTACAGCAGTGGGTGGATGAGGTTCTGTGGCCTGCGATGGGCAGGAGGTCAGACGAGATGATCACGACAGTCCCTTCTGGCCTTAAAGCCTGAGAGTCTCTGATCCTCATTGGCCAGGCAGTGGAATTTTGGCTTGGTGAAACTGAGACACTGCTTGGAAGAAGCACTGGGAAGTAGCGACTGTGGTGGCGTCTGATTCCTGCCTCTCGCTTCCCTGAAGGGTCGTGTCCTCCATGATCTGCAGCATTGGACGGATGCTCCAAGTGGGCTGATGGCAAAACAATGTAGAAACCCAGCTGGGCAAACTCCATCTCCCAGGCCTTTCCATTAAAGCGCTGAGTTTAGCGCGTCACATTAAAAGCCAGGAGTATCCAAAGTTCCCATAATAATGAGATGCATGGCTTATGGTGATGTTACTACCTTTATCTAATCATCTTGCGCCTCCTGGGATTGGAAGGAGATGACAAAGGATTAAAGTAGGTCTTGCTCTTACCCCTTCCCCACCTTCCCTGCTCCAAGAGAGGGCTGTGTGCAGCGAAGGGCTCGAGTTGTAGAGTTCTGACTGGAATTCCCACCTAGCACACAGCAACTACACTGCACCGCGTATCTTCTCCTTTACAAAGGTCCATCTAGCCCAGAATCTTGTCTTCTGACAATGGCCAATGCCAGATGCCCCAGAGGGAAAGAGCAGAACAGGGAATCATCAAGTGATCCACCTTGCTCAGGGCATATCCTGACATCTCCGGGTTTGGCCCTGTGTGAATTCCAGGCTTGACTTGATGGTGACTCCGTTTGTTTTCCGTCATGTAATGAGGCTGAGTGAATGGGTGGCCGGCACCCGCCACCATTTGGGATGAGAAAGCCCGGCGGCGTGTGAGTCTGTGAGGTTGCCATCTGTGGTGGCTGCATGAGCCCGTATGGATTGGGCCAAAGCATCCCAGCTTGTTGCTAGAACTCCCGGAGATCCCCCCACACGAGCATGAGTTTAATCCCATCCCCTCACACCCTAGGCCAGGCAGTACCAGCAAGGGTCACCAGGCACCGCTGACAGTCTGGCAGGTCCAGGAGTATCTTTGCATGGTGTTAAACTGCAGGAGCCGAGCTCTAGCTTCCCCCCAAGGGCCATGTAGCTGATATGTTCTCTCTCTCCCACTGCTCCTTGGGGATTTCATGCTGCAGAATTTGTCCCCTCTTGGTGCAGGGTCTGTTGCCTGGCCCTTCCCTGGAACAGTGCTATGGTCTCCAAGGGCAGTGGCCCCAAACCCTGCGTTGTGTGGGAGAGGCACCTGTGTTTGGGGCTGCCCCGTAGAGCACGGTCTGTTGTTTATAGGGACCATCTAGGGCTCGGTCGGGCAAAGGGAACTGCGTAGATGGACCCGTTGCCAAACCTGGGGCCCAGCCCTGTCCCCTGAGCAGTTGTGCCAGGCTCAGAAGTGCTTCTGCTCGGAGGGAGGCTGGTGAGTGGGGACCCTGCCCCGGGTTATTCGGGGGGGGGTCTGTGTGCCTCTACTGCTCTACCCCGCTCCAGCAGAGCTCGGCCATGACGGTTCTGTGCCCAGTGAGCATCCGCGGAAACCAGGGCCGGCGTTAGACGCGCTGGGGCGCAGGGCAGGAAGCTGCAGGCCGAACCCTGCTGCCTGGGGCTGAAGCCCGAGCCCCACAGAACACGTTAGCTTTGTGGGGGCCACTGTGGTGTGGGGTCCCAGCGCTGGCTGAAACTGGGCCCACAGCGGGTGGACGTGGCCTGAGTGTGCAGGCAGCCTGGTCTCTGTGTGGGTTGAGATGGGAGGGGGCCATTTCTCCCGTCCCGGGCCTAGTCCCTGTGGCCAAGCTCTTTGCAGGCCCCTAGAGGGGAGAGGTTTGGTCACACAGCCGTACTTGCAAAGCCCCAGGATGCGGGGAGGAGGGTTTCAGGAAGAGAGAGTGAGAGGCCCCCAGGGAGCTGCTGTCAGGCGATCCAGGAAGGTGCCACGGGGCGCGGGCAGCAGTTTAGCATAGAAGTAAATGCAAAGCTAAACTGAGGAGCTTTGTGTCTGTAATTACTGCGGAGCTGGGTGGGTAATTTGCTTTGGAAGCAAGCGTCCTCTCTCCCACGCAGACCTTGCGCTGGCTCCAAGCCGGGGGAGCCGATGAGAGGCTGCGGAGAGACGCACCTGAGAGGCAGCGACTCGATCAGAACGAGCCCTGGGGTTCCTCTCTGGGGAAATGGAACTCGCTCGCTGATGGGGTCACTGCTCGCGCTGGAACCTCCCTTTGCTGCTCGAGGATCTGGAGATCTGGGCTCTGCCACTGACGCCCTGCGCGGCCGTGAGCATGTCCCACAGGCCAGGCTTCCCCACCGTGTCCTCGAACCCTGGGCTGTGGGCCGAACTCTGACACCCAGCCCCTGCTTTTCACACGTGCCGAGCAGCTGCAGCTCCAGCTGTTGCCAATGGGATCTGTCCATAAAGTGTTTTCCACCCGTCAGGCAGAGGGCGAAGCACTTGTGGTCGGTGGTGGTGGGTTGATTTAGTAGTTTGTGAATTGGACCGAGCCCTCCAGGGTTCGGCGTGTTTGCTGTTTGACTCCCTTCGCTCTCCGGCCAGTGCTCGTCCGTGCTGCGTCTGGTCCCCGTCCCAAATATATGTCTTAGCATGAGGCATCTCCAGCCTGCATGATTGTTTCTATACTGCACAGTTCAGACCAGGCTGCAGGACTCGCCCCTGGGGAATCTTGCCCTCTGGATAGCCTGGGGCTGGCCACTCTCAGGACA